ATAGTGGTTATGTATGGTAATGGATTAAGAATTGATTTATGGGAATTAAACATTTATCAATTGCTAATGTCTTAGTTACTGCTCATATTGTGTTTAGCATATCTCTACTGGGCGCTGGCTCACCCTATATGGGACATTATTTTTCAGGTACATGTAGCATGCCACCTCCAAGGACATAGCTTGGGTGATGATGAGAGTTGAAGACTCTTTTTTTTTATTATTTTGACTGTATTACATGTATATCAAGCCAAGGGCTTATTTGTATAGAGTTAATACTCTTCTTTTGTGTAACCAAGTGTTGGCTTGAAAAGCTGTAAGCTCTTAGGGCATTTGCTTTTGTTGTTAACATGTAATACTGTTGTAAGAACTACTTTGATGAATAGAAATGGTTGGTTTCTTTTATGTCAATACATGTCTAAAGTGATGGGTTTTATGTATTATTTTGAAGGCGTTACAATTTTAATTTAAGCCTTGACCATTGGGTTGAAAGACATAAAGTGTCATGATATTTATAGAGAAGTAAAGATTATACAATTGGCTATGGAAGAATTAATCATGTTAATATTATTGGTTGTATAATGTCAACTTTGGAAGTTGCTCAGATGATATATAGTGTTTGTTACTGGTTACATTTTTTATGTTTGCATGAGATCTTGTTTCATGAAAGAGTACCATAAAATCTCTTATAATTTTTCACTATACAAACATGTTTTAGAGTTCAACTTGAGTTATGTAATTAAAGAATTTTATTTTAGAGCTTGGAATTGTTAATTTCATCTCCAAACGTATAAAGATGTATTATAATATATGGTTTTAATTTTCTCTATGAAGAATAACAAAAACTCTGATGGTGTTAAATGCATAATTTTAAAGTACTTCAGAATTAGAGAGTTGTTAAAGATGATATTCTTTATGAGCACATGTTATAGAATACATACTAGTTGATCCTCTAAATATAGGGCTTAGGCCAAATTTTAGTTTGCTAAATATATTGAGCATATGGGTACTTTACAGTTTTTTATGTGCTTGGTTAAAGAAATTTTTTTTACCCATGAATATTATCTATGGTATATTTCAGTTAATAAAGTTTAATGTGTTTATTCACATTTTGTTTATAGTTATGTGTGTACACATAAATGGAAACTGTTATGTATGTATTCATCTTCTATGAACTGTTACAGTTATATTTAAATTTTGAGATATAAAGATTGATACTTCAACTTAAAAGTGTATTATGCTTCGGTTTAGAAGTGTATATGGATCCATAAAGTCTGATGCTTGGTTTAAAGCATGAATCACCTCTGTTTAGAGGTAAAAAGGCTTCTTTTAGAAGTGGAGAAAGGAATGAGATTCCTTGCAGGGTCTTGTCAAGACCATACAGAGGACTGAATGTGGAATTAGCATGTTATATAATTTTTTGATCAATTACGTTGAAATTCTACACTACACTTTATCACATATAGGAATCCATGTTGGTGAGATATTAGTGTTTGTAATTGTGGAAGGTGTTATGTTGTTCAATAGCATAATTACCGCTACAGTTCGATATTAATATTTCTTATTGAACGGGATTCTGTGCTGAGATGTTTCTATTCTGAATCATGTTTATGTGGCCACTAAAGTTGTTTAACCTGAGAGTCATTTTTTCTTAAATAAAATATTTTCTTAAAGTAGTTGTCAATGTTGCCTAAGTGGGAAAATGTAAGAATTTATTCTTAATTAGGCTGTCATTGACTATATTTTGTTTGGTTTGTGAAAAACGGGTTGAACGTGATTCAGATAGATTGACTGGTATGAGCCCAAAATTATTATTGTGATCCATAAAGTTTGGGCCATGGTCATCTTAGTGTATATATTATTTTATATGTGGATATGTGATATGGAGGTGTAAGGCCTGTTTTAAGTTATTTGAGTTCCTTAATGGGAGGGCCCAGTAATTGTTTTATTTAGGCCCAGTCCCCTCTCCTATCCTTATTAGGGCTTACATATATCTATATATATGTAGATCAAAGGGTTGTTAGCCCCATTGAAAGACAACATAAAAATTAGGAGAAGGAGGGGAAGAGCTGGTGCTAAGGTTTTCCGATTGTGAATACCATATTCTTCTAAAGAAATCAAAATTCAAGACAATAACGGAATCAAACGGTATGTATCCAAGTTTATATTTTAGTAGTTAATTATATTCATAATGTTTTGATTTCTATTATATAGATCCTATATTTTTACAAAGCTTTCATGAGTATTGTAGCGGGATAAGAAGAGCATTGTAGACAAAACAATAGGAAATGGTCTTGGTCTCGAATATCATTAAGAAATAAATAAGAAGCAGTCTATTCAATAATTGGAATTACATATGTTTTGAGACAAGTTTGAAATCCTAATTATAATTTCAAGCCAACTATGAAATGCTAGGTAATTACCAATCTGCAAATGTTGCAGTTACAACTTATTAACACAATCCATTATTGCACATATTATAGGAATCCTACTTTTCGAAATGACTTAAACTGCATAATACAAATTATAACAACACATTATAAAGTTAGAAGTTCTTAAATGCATTCTTATCTCACCACTCATTTCATAAAATAAAATAATAAAAGTAAAATTACCCAATTACACATTGAGCGTTAAGGAGAGTGTGCATTTTTTTTTTTTTTTTTTGAACAAGTTAAGGATAGTATGTATTGCATGCATTTGTTGCACACAATTTCACAGTACCCAAACAAGAAGGATTATTTTGTCCTTTGATTTTGGATTATACTATTTCAAAGAGTAATTAAATACACAAATAAATTACACAAAATTTTCTTACTTACATAAATTATTTTCATCATATTATTCGAGTGAGTCGGAATTGTAAGATTGTTCATGCATAAATAACTCAGAAATAAGTTTTGAAATAGTTAGTAGTCTCAGACTATAGATACGTGGTACTCTTTGGTATTATGATTGATGAAAAAGGTACGCATGTGAGGTATTATATTGGGTGATTGAGAAATATAAGGGACATAATGAATGGCGATTGGTGAGCGAGTATGACCATGTGATACTTCAGAACTATTGTATAATTTTCCTTAATAGGATTTATCACTTTCAACTAGAAAGGTAGTTTTGAAAATATTCACCAAATTACATTATTTTCAAACTACCTTGTCCAAGGAGGTGACCTCATGATGCAGAATGGAGTGAGTGCTATTTATAGGCACCTCATGATATAAAATGGAGTCCATGTGCAAGGCACATTGGGAATATTCTCTCTAACTACCTTGTCCAAGAAGGTGACCTCTCTAAGGATAAGGAAAACCCCAAAAAGGAGATCAACCTCTCGGCAAACCCTTCTTCTTAGCCACACCTAACCAATGATTGCCAATCATCCCAAGGGGTCAGGGATAGTCCCAAAGGACACCCTACTGTAGAAGGGTAAGGGGTAGTTCAAGAGAACACCCTGCTGCAAATATTGCCGAGTCTCAAGGACCCCTTAGATCATGTCACCTCGACCAGGGTATAGGTTAATTTAACCGAATAGTGAATTTATCTCCACTCATCATCCTCGAGATCGGGTCCTTTGTTTGAACTCCGTTACGCCCATAGTTCTGGTGCATAGATATTGGAAAGCTCCGAGCCGCAAGTATTCTGGGACTCATTAATGGAGTGGCTTCTAAATTGCATTTAAATCCGTTCGAAGCAAAGCTCTTTGGATCTCTAACTTCGCGGATCCGAACCGTTTCGAGTCTGAGTCTCTAGGTTTGTGGTTCCGAACCCTTTCAAGACTAAGCCAATACCTCGAAGAATGGATATCCTCAGAGGGTTTTATCTCTTTTGAAAACAACGGTTAACCTCCTCGAACACCTATATGATGTGAGCCTCCTCGGATAGGCTTGTTGGACTCTCTTTAGAGATATATGTTTGATGGGTCTTTCTCGGCCCAATGTGTTGGCCTTCTTGTGTACTTGTTCAATAGAATTCATTTGGGGCCATTTGGCAATAATTTTTCCAAGCTCACCAATTTTTTGGGCTTTCCGATTAAGCTTCGATTGGGCCCGATTAATTTAGTGGGCTTAAGTTAACCCCTCTTACACCTTGTAACTAGCACAAGTGGGCAACTCCAAATAATGTGAGACACATTCCAACAAGAGTGAGGAAAGAAGAAAAAAAGACAAAATAAAGCTTCAAGTGAGAGGGAACAAATCGTGAACACTTAAGAATTTCATGCTTAAAAAAAAGGTTTACTCTTACCTAAATTCTGCTATTTAAAAATAAAAAAATATTAAAAAAAAAAGAAACAGAAAAATAAATGATATATAAACAAAAAGTTTTATGTATAATGATGTAACTTCTAATTGCCCTTTTATTTTTAATCAAAACACCCACCATTACCTTCATAATTTAAAATCATCATTGATACTTCATTTTGGATGCATTTTTTGTATAATTTTTTTGTTTACATATCATTTTTGACACCATCTTATTTACTTTTAACAATTTTAATGGTGTCAATTGATAAAAACCTTTTGAAAATTTACATGCCATTTGGGAACTTTGAAAAAAAAGCTGTGTTTTGGTCATTTGACCAAAAAAGCCAAAATGACTTTTTACCATTCATTTGGGAAGGGGAAAAAAAAGTTAATTGTGAAATTACAATTATACCCTTCATATTGTTTAAATAAGTCACATGTAAAGTTCTGAAAAGCAGTTGCAGTCATCGTAACGGTGGCGGTGGCAGTGGCGTGGTTGCGGTTGCAGGGTGTAAAGGTTGTAGCGTAACGGTTGCGGTAACCGGAACCGTGAATTTTTTTATTTTTCGCACAATTCGAAAAAAACTTACTGATACGCATAGTTTTTTTCCCATGATCATATTTATTGGGTTTAAAATAAATATTGATCAATTTCTGTAAATTTTTAAGAATGATACAATATATTTCATATTTTTAAATCACTATAAAGTGAGTTTTTTACATTTTATTTTAATAATTAATGACTTTATATTATACAAAAAATTAATCATTAACTATTACAAAGATTATCGTAAAAGAGAGGGTATAGACAATTACGTTAGCAGCATCCCACAATCGTAGAGACTTGTCAAATGACGCTGTTGCTAGCTGAGACGAATTTGGCCTAAAACGTACATCTGTAATCAAATATTGGTGTTCTTCCGGTGTGGTTTCTGTTTTCAGTGTATCCATACTCCAGAGGACAACTTGATGCATGTAACAGGAATAATTAACCATAACGCCTTTTGGATCAACGCATCTTATCTATGCTAACATTACTTTTACTCTAAGGTATGCTTATTGAAACATTAGTTCAATCAGCGGATGGAACTAGCAGACACACGCACCACAAATACATACACGTAACTAACGATATTGACATAGATCTTAAAGGAGAATATCCTTTGTCAAAATGCCAACTTTATGCATGTCATATATCACTAAAGTGAACCATTGTGTCCAGCCTGGCAACTGTAGTCTTCAGGTATTATATTTATTTTTTAATGTATGTATTTTACCTTCTTGTCATGTCCAGCACTAGCCAGCAACTTCCCATCTGAAGAAAAATGACAGCAGGTAACTTTATTCCTTGTCCTTATACAACCAACTTCCCCAAAGGAAAAACCTGAAATGGAGAATTTGACCATTTCTTAGTACTATTCAAACAGTTAGGTCAAACATAGCACACACAAAATACAACAATTGATTACCCTTAGAAGACTCTGTTTTATGCTCAGTAAGACCTGGTTTTAAGGTGCCATACAGATCTCTTCCCTTTTCTCCATCATGCGACAGAAATGAATCCATATTATCATCCAGAGAACCGACATCTCCAAAATGTTCTATGTCTTCCTGCACTAATAATCAATGTTGAGCTTCATGTTACACAGAAACTTCATCCATGAGACAGATTCATTCAATACAGACTTCATGTCAATGTCAATGCTAACAGATCAATCAACTAGAAAATCCAATCAGCATGATCAACGAACTAATTTAATATCACATATAAATCAAGAAAATTCAACACTAGGACTTTTTATCTTCCAAATTCAAATTTGCCAGTTCTTGCCTCAACAAACTCAAAATTGCCGATAATAAATGAAATCTTGATTTCAAGTTAACAACAATAATATACTACTCACTATAATGTATTGAAGAAGAAATTGAGAGATATACACTAATAGATATGGAAAATGCAAGAAAATAGGGCAAGAATAAGATGAGTTGAACCAGTACATACCTGTACGAGGATGAGACGAATTAGTCGAACCAGAGCTTCCTTGTATGATATGTATGTGTAGATAGATAAATAGATAGATAGATAGATAGATAGATAGATAGATAGATAGATAGATAGATAGATAGATAGATAGAGAGAGAGAGAGAGAGAGGGATTGGGGGCGAGATTGAGAGAGAGATTCATACCGCTGGAGATCTTCAGACGAAGATGACAAGCGAGAGAGTAGAGCTGTACAGGTCTGTTGAATGCGTGCGAGAGAGAGAGAGAGAGAGAGAGAGAGAGAGAATGATCTGCCATAGATCTTTAGAGCTATTTGTCAATTCTCTCTCTAGAATCATCTAGAGCACAAGCTATCAGAGATATATACACAAATATATGCATGTATATAAAGAGAGAGAAAGAGACCTGGAAGAGGTTGAGGAGGGCAGGGGCGAAGGCGAGGCAGCCGAAGGAGAGAGAAACGTTACTGGCGACCTGAGAACTAAGAGCTTCGACGATTGATTTAAGACATAGAGAGAGAGAGAGAGAGAGAGAGAGAGAGAGAGAGGGGGAACGATATCAATGTTTGTGAAATAGGGCTAGGGCAATTATAAGGAAAAAAGGAAGAAAAAATAAATATAAGGAATAAATAGATTATTTGCAACTGATAATTAGGGGGTCGCAAATTGTATGGTAGCAAAAGGTCATTTTTCTAGTAGTGACTGTTGTCTCAGGTTTTGGACAGGTTGATGTGTTAGGTCAGTCTTGTGAAACTCATTTGTAGTTGCTATGTCTATTGGATTGATTGTTAACTTGTGTGCCCTTGATAAAAAGAGTTTGGAGTGATATTGATTATTGTTTGAGCGCTCAAAATCATTTGGCTTGAAACTCAAAATGACGTCGTTTTGGATTCTCTTACCGGTAACATGTAATAAAAATTTTTTACCCGTAAGATATATTAAAATTCTCTTACCGGTAAGATAATCCGAAATAACGTCGTTTTAAATTCGGGGCAAATTCGAGCTTGAAAATTTCAGACCCTGTAGCAACTCTGTGTTATATTTTTCATATATGCCTGAATGGTGCTGATCGTACTTCTACTAAAAATGTATTGAGATGGTATATGTAGTGTCTGCAGCTGATTGTCTTATTCTTGATTGCCTGCAAGGACAGCTAATAACCAAGTTCTGAAGTTGAAGCAGACTAGCAGTCAGTGTTAGTATCTGTCCTGACTCCTGAGTGTTTTCGACAATATTTTGGGTCGGCCTAGCTGTAACGATTGTAGTGGTTGTAGCTAGGATCGGACAGTAAGAGCAGGAAGATGCGTGGTTAAATTACGCGATGATGGCATTAGGAAATAATTGGGGAGTATCTTAGGATGTGTTTGGTTTGTGTTTGTAGAGTAGTTTTTGAGATAAAAAAGTACAAAAACTTGTTTGGTTTGTTTTTTTCTAAATATTCTCTCAAAAATAACTTTAGTTTTTTTTGTAAAGTAATTTTTGAGATAAAAAGTACAAAACTTATTTGGTTTGTCTTTTTTCAAATATTCTCTCTAAAATAACTTTGGTTTTTTTTTTTTGTAGAGCAGTTTTTGAGATAACTTTTTTGCAAACATGTTTCAAAAGTAATCCTGAAAATTGGGTAACTAAACACATTTTGAAGAGTTTTTTTGGAAAAATCTATTCGGCTTGATTATTCTCAAAAAAGTGTTTGTAGAGTATATTTTCAAAAAAATTCTCTCAAAATCAAACCAAACAAGGCCTTAATTTTTAAAACCCAAATCTAATTTCTGTTAAGCAATTTTTACCAACAAATTAGTCCTTGCTTCAATCAAACAATGGGTGGGCAGAGATACTAACTAACCAAGGCTGTTGGAGGGAAACGGGATAACAATGGGGGAACAAAAAACACCTATCTTTTGCATGTATGTATATAGTTGAATCTATGAAGGCATTGTTTTTGGCACCTCTCATGATCCCTAGCTTCAGTTGTGACATGCTAGTTTGTCGCTATGAAATCTGATTTTGCATGTGATGTTGTGTGGAGCATTCCTACTTATGTGTTAGCTGAGTGAAGAAAGCAGTGGGCACTGGGAAATTGGAAGTTTTCAATTGTGCCACTGGAAAACTCTGATTCTATATTGCCTAGTTAAATATGTCCAATGTAAATCCAGAATACAACTTTAGGTTCCATTATGATGTATATTAAATTGAAAAGCCCAGCCTGCATTTTTCCTTAAAACTCAGATATTAAGGAGAGGGAAACTGAAACTTTATACAGATGAGGTAACTCCAGGCAATATGAGACACATTCCAACACACCCAACTAGCACAGATGTGATAACTCCAGGCGATATGAGACACATTCCAATACACCCTCCTGGACCAGGACATACACTAGCCGGCAATGTGGGACACATTCCAATACACCCTCCTGGACCAGGACATACACTAGCCGGCGATGTGGGACACATTCCAACATACCTTCCTGGACCAAGACATACACTAGCCGGACAAACGGCACACTAGTCACAAGCCCAACGAAGTTTTGATATCAAAAAGAAAAGCTTAACTCAAACTTCTCTTTAAAACCCAGATATTAAGAAAAGGGCAACTGAAACCTTATACCTAGCACAGATGGGGTAACTTTAGGCGATGTGAGACACACTTCAACATATTAGAGGAAAGTGGTGTCACATTTTAGAAATAATTTGTACTATATCTATACTATTATTTAAAGCAAAGGCTCAAGTCGATGCCTTGAAGCCTTCATCATATTCTAAAAATCCACTCATAATCCCATAATTGCTAATTACTCAGATTTTGATTTTAAATTTCAAATTTTGATAACTTTTCTTTTCTTTTTATTTTCTCTTTCTATATTCCATTGATTTATTTTCTTAGCACACACATTGGTTGTGCACACCGTCTAGGAAAGTAGGTATATACTATATTAATACGTCAACATTAAATTTTGACCTTAGGAAAGTCACCAAGGATCCTCTAGAGTGAAATTTTTCTAAAGTTTCCTAGAGTGCTACATTGTGTGGTTGAGATTTACTGGCAAGTCACTCATAATCCCATAATTGCTAATTACTCAGATTTTGATTTTAAATTTCAAATTTTGATAACTTTTCTTTTCTTTTTATTTTTCTCTTTCTATATTCCATTGATTTATTGTCTTAGCACACCATCTAGGAAAGTAGGTATATACTATATTAATATGTCAACACTAAATTTTGACCTTAGGAAAGTAGGCGTCGCATTTTAGAAATAATCGGTACTATATACTATATTAATATGCCAACACTAAATTTGGCATTTTGAAGCCTGTGTCCATTAATTAAGCCACAAATTTAATTAATTAATTTTTTAAAATTCATTTGGTAACTATCTCACACATGATCTCGTACAATGCCTAGGACTCCAACAATACTCCTAATAAGTTACAACTGTAATCACAATATCACTATTCAAGAACCACAAACTGCTGTTAACCACAATTCCTGATTTTCATACTCAATTGCACACTCTCTATTTACTTTCTTTTATCAGTTTTAATAAATTATATTTAATATGATAAATAATGCACACGCATAGTCTGTGCACCAACTTCTAGTATAATTAATTTCAGCTGGTTGGATTTGGTCACCTCGTAATTTCCTAGATGAAGGTAGGGACATTGGTCAATATTTGCCATGCGGCAAAGCTTTATAGGTGTTCTTTTTGTCTTTTCTTTTTTTTTCTTTTGATCAGCAAAAAAAAGATTTTATTGATAAAGCACATATAAGGTATGAGAAATTATATCAATAAAGAAGAGTTTGGAACTATATCAAGCTTCAACCTCCTAGTTGGTGAGAGACCAACAGAAAACAAAGCTAAGGCAAAGAACCAAAGCACAAAACAGAAACAGCAAGAACAAAAATTAACCAATCATAGCCCAGCAACACGCAAACCTCCAAACAGAACCCTGCTTCCAAGCACCAAGTGCTGCCTTGAACACCATTCAAATTAGACCTATAGCCCTAAAGATGCAGCCAGCCAATGATAATCAATCCAACGAACAAAATTCAGCAAAAACCAGACCTATTGTTTTTTAAGCAGCCATTGAAGCAGCCAATAAAACTCAACTAGTAACTCAGAAACCAGAAGAAGTATATCAGTAACAGATAAACCAAAAGAGATAGATAACTCAGAAAAACCAGTAGCAGCTCATCATCAGAGGTAGATCAGTAACAGAGGAACCAGTGGTAGATCAATAGCAGCACCAACATAGCACTGCTAAAACCAGAATCACAGAGGACCTGAAGCAGACAGCCTGATCTGATTGAAATTGAAAACAATATCATTAACCGTATAATCAACCTCCAAACTCCATTTTACCCACATAGCAATCTGCACCTTCATTTTATCACAAAATTCATCAAAAATAGGTTGTGCCCCTTTGAAAAGACATTCTTGATGCCATATTTGGTAGTGTTTTTGGTCAGGCTGCAAGACTGATTAGCAAATGGATGTAGCAGCTTTTACGTTTATATGTATTTTCGTTATAAATATAGATGTATTATATAATCAACATAGTTTTACCTTGCTTACAAGACTTCTACCTAAGCACACATCTTTGATAAGTAGGAGACACCTGAAATTGTGTCAATCCAAGTTCTTGTGACGAGTTGTGATAAAATTCACATATGCAATGGTTGATATAGAGTTGTAATGACTTGTAAAGGTGTCATTATGGCTTGTGACAGCTAATTACCCTTTATTTTTAGGACAAGGATGAGGAGGAATACAAAGAATCTAACGGCGGGTAAAGGTCATTATGGTTTGTGACAGATAATTACCCCTAATTTTTTAGGATAAGCTTGAGGAATACAAAGAATCTAAGTAGTCATCATACTCGACTTGATTATGTAATATTCTTTGTTTGTTTGCTAAAGCATTGATCTTCCTCCTTTTCTTTGTCTATAGCAATGTGAAGGTGGTTGCCGATGAGGATTTCATGTCGTCCCTTTATTAGTTTAAGTGAGAGGAGCAAAAACTGGTCTGTGCATTTAACTTGGGGTGGGGTGGGGCGCAGTTGGTGGTCATCTTTTATTGGATAAAATGTGCTTGGACTTTGGCATATTCTAGATATTACTTACTTGTGGAATTGGTGAGTGCATGTGTTTCCATGGCACAAAATTTTTTTGGCATAACAATAGAGAAAAGGTAAAATAGGAATACAACTTGAAGTACAGTTAATGAATGTAAAATTTAAAAATCAGCATAGGCTGGGCCCTAGTTTTAAACACCCACTTTAAGTTTCATTAAGAAACCCAGTCCAATGAAGAGGTCCTAATTTGCTAGCTAATTACAGTACAAGTTCTCTCTCTGTCTCTCTCTCTCTCTAGGTATCTTGCTTTCTCTCATATACTTGCAAGTTTAATCTTTTGTTTATTTGTTATTTTTTGTATACATTCCCATAAAAGTATAGTTAAAATAATTATTTCCTCTTGATAATGAACTTCAAAAATAGTGCAAAATTTAATACATTAAAGTAAATAACATTAGTAAATTGGTAAAGTTAATTTTAATTAATTTTAAAACTCAAAACTACGGGATTCTAGAGTTAAAATATAACGTATTGCATGGGAAGTTGTGCTACTTAAAAAGCTATTCATAGCTCTGCCACATCCATTGTCTAACAATCTTCACAGACCGTATTTGTCAATGCAAATGCGACTGCAAGTTTGAAACCTTTCCTCTTCCTCTTTTAAATCTTCATGATCAAATGCTACATAATCAAGAGTAATCTTGTTCTCATCTTATTGTGTCTTTGCCAAAGACCGATTATTGTAGCGACAAGGTACAAGATACTTTTCACTGGGGCTGTTATGATTAGTTTTTGTTGCAAAATTTTGGGTGAGAATATGTGAATTTAAGGTTTGTAAGGATGTATACAAGTACCAAAGCTTTGGGGTTTTAGGAAGGCATAGATTTATAACTTCCTGTTATTTTCCACTTCAGTCTAGGATGTGCTCAAATTTCCTTGCAAGAATAATTGGTCATGCAGAGGACAGGCTATTGTGTTTTACTTTAGATCAAGAAGTGAGGAACTGTATCCAAGTACACGAGAAAATGAGTTATTTGCCATATGTTCTGCTGAGTGATGCTTTTTTGCTTTGCTTAGAGCTTTATAGTGTAGTTGCACAGTGGAATCAAGTCATAGCAATTTCTTTTCCAAGTGAAAGAGGGCAGGATTTTTTTTTTTGGATTGCATGATTATCGAAAAGGAATTAATCTTTGTTTAAGGGATACCTTTAATGCTTGGGATTTCTTTGTTGAGACAAAGCCTTATATGTTAAAAGGACTAATAAATGTGAATGTTTGATTAACTGATGGTTGGGATTTCTTATTGCATATGAAAGATTTGCTAATTTTAGTCATATACATCTGCTGATATAAAGAAGTTTATTTAAGCATTTAACTTTGTGCAGGTATGACTATTTCGGGTACGGACAGTCTTCCGGGAAGGTGTGTGACAATTGAATTTTTTTTCTACATAACAGTTTCTTGTTAATTAAGTTATATGGTGCGACTTGTAGTGCCTAAAAGTGTCATCTACAGCTCATACCTTCCCTGTGTTGCAGCCAAGTGAGCAGAATACCTACGCAGATATTGAGGCTGTATATAAATGTCTTGAGGAAAGCTATGGCGCAAAGCAGGAGAATATCATCCTTTACGGTCAAAGTATTACTACTTTTATGTGCATACCTTCCAATATTATGAGTAACTAAAAGTATTCAAACTAGAGAATTGTTAAAAAAAACTATAATTTTAAAATTGTTTATGAATTAATGAAGCCGTATTGACATCATACCCTCATTTGCCAATTTATGAAACATATGATATCACAAAGATGAGTAGTTTATTCATTTACTTGAAAAAGTTATGATGTATGAGCCACATTCTTCATCTGGGAGAAAAAATGGTTCATACTCTAATGCATATCATGTCATGCTAATTCTTTTGACAATACCTCTTCTAATCTTTAAATCCATGCTTCAAAGAAAGATTTTGATTGTTGATGTGATGAAGACTATAAAACCAACCATATTCTGAGGGCCAAATTGAAGAATTTTTCCGATATTACAGTCATGCTTTGCAAATACACCCCACATATATATTTATAGATACATATATTTTACATAATCAACCATTTCTTTGTAAGTTTTTTATTTGATTCAGGTAACTATTGTTTCTGTACATGATGGTGAATACCACTGGTAATATACAATTTCATTCCTTTGACAGGATACGATATTCCCCTGAAATGATTGACGGAAAAAGAGTATGGAAAATTGATCGGTTAGCACCCTGACTAGTATTCTCAGCATCTTCATTATAAAGTTCGTCATTGGGTATTTTTCCATGCTGCCTTTCATTTATTTTTTGCAAGTAGAGACACTCGTGCATTTGCAATATCAGTGGGATGTACCAGTTTATGTATTCTTGGTGGTACTTTGGAAATTTGTTGTATACATGAGAGAAAATATTGCAATTCAACTAGTACATTTTCTATGGAATAAACTTTAAATCTGTTTGGTATCATTTTTATTTTTCTGTTTTCATATTTCGAAAAATATGGAAAACTTTTTTTTATTAAAGAAACACTAAAAAATAGTTTTTAAATTTTCGAAAGCTGTTTTTGCACAAATGAAGGAAACGATGGATGTTTTCAAACTTTTTATTATTATTTTATTCTGAAAACAAGAAAAACAAACCAAACAAAATTAATCTGTTGGGATAAGAACACTTTTTTTTGAGTGAGTGCAGTTAGATTATATCTTTAGATTATACACTTGATAATAGTGGTTTGCATACAAAAGAATAATTATGATGATCATTATTTATTGTGTCCGTGGCTGAATTTTTCTTCTTTTTACAAAAATGAAAATCCTCTAAGAATTTCTTCATGTCCGTATGAAAACTGTTTTTTTTTCTTCATCGAAATTGTTGCAGGTAACAGCAGGTGCTATATTAGGATGTATAGTAGCATACCTCATGAAATGCTCCAGTTAAGGGATGGTGCAGTTATTGCTTCTCAATTACCAAATCTTCAAGAGGCTTTCGAGCTTTTCAATTGTGGTAACAGCAGGTGCTATATTCTAGTCTTGGTTGCAACTATTGCTTCCTTTGCTTTTCTGTGTATAAATTGATTTTCAACGCTTATCAAATTTATGCAGTGTTTGGTATTTAAAAATTGATTTGGAAACCCCAGAAGTTCCCTATCTCTGTACTTTCTGATAGTTTGATAGTGTCATCATTTCTGTTTGTTGAGTGATTAGACTGATAGAGTTAGAATGTTAAATATTACAATGATTGAGAAAACATATATTTTAAGAACATATATGAGTTCTTAGAGCAAGTTGAATGCTTTGCCATAATCCTCTGTATATAGATGTTTAGTTTGGATTTGTTAATAATTTTTTTAAAATTTTTAAATTTTTTTACCAGTACAAAGGATATTTCAGGGAAATAAATCATTCTATTTTCAAACATCATTCTCTTTTTGTTGACACATAAGATCAAGCAAAATGATCAACGACGTTAGTACACACCACATTTCTATTGGTCCAGTAGTTCATATCTAATCATGAGTTTTTGTTTGGTACTAGGTTTTTAGACAAAGGGTGAAAAATTTCGAGTGTATAAACTGAGAATTGAAATTTGTGTAAATAAAAAATCTCCCCAAACATCACCTCTAGATTGTCATTGTACCCACAATGTCTCAGCCCTAGCCTTCTCATCTGGTGTGGAAAACCTATTCCACGAATTCAACGAAATCATTTTCCCTTTGTTCATCATCACATATTCCACTTCCAATCTTGCCTACACTGAAACACTAATTTTCAGGCCTTGGTTGGTCACTCAACAACCTATCTCCTTATGAGGATGTAAAAATCCGGCTACAAATGGGAAGGGTTCAGTGCTTTCCAGGAACCAGTCCTCAGGCTTCAGAATCACCACAATCTTGCCTTCAACAACACTACATACAACCATCGACGTAATTTTTTATCTTTTGATCCATAGTTGGGTCAATGATTATATTGAGATGGTGGGTAGCCCAACCTGTGGCTGTGTCGTTTCTTCACTCATTCTATTATTGAATTAAAATATAGAATGTGTCACAAAAATATAATGATTACTGTTTTGAATGTGTATCCCTCTATAACTTGGTTTAATCCCAACCTTTTATTATATTTAGCATACTGTGTTTTTCCCAGGTTCTTAGAGAGGTTTCCTATTGATTCAAAGGTTTTGGGAGAATGAAAAGTAGTGTGTGAGATTGATTTAAGGAGTGACACAGAGGTCATGCAGTAGATAAGAGTTCCTGCTAGAAGACTGTTATTTGAAAAGGCCAAGAAGACTATTTTTAGGTAATTAAATCTCTTCATAGTTTTTACTTGTATTTCCCTTTGCAATTTCTCAGTCCTCATTGTGTAGTTCCATCATATATCAAGTGCTCAGTGATGATGATCATTCTGTATTATACCTACTTACAGATCAATTTACCATATAGTTTGAATTGCATTTCAAGGGTTATTGCAGCTCTCATCTTTTCTTCTGTTTTTATTTTATTTTATTTTATTTATTTTGTGCACAATCTATATTGCATATTGTGAATACAATGTATAAATAAAAAAGTTTTCATTCTACATGCACTTGGAAATTTCATAATTTCTTATCTTTATAGCCTTCTTGACATGGTATGCAAGAGTACGTAGATTTTCCAATCATTCAAGTTTATTGAAGTTGTGTTAATGGAATTGGATGATTCAGGTATATAATCATCATTTTGGTGAAGATGATGGATGACTTGATGAAGCTGAAGAGAGCTGTGGATGAAGTTATTTTCAGAAAATTTGGAGATTGCGTTTTACGGAGTTTTATTTTATTTTTTATTTTATTTTTTTATGAAAAATTGAAAAATTAATGCTCATCCATGTATATATTTTGAGATTGGTGATGGATAATATAGGTTTGGTTTGAACAAAAAGTAAACAAATCATTAATTATGATTTTTATTTTATTTTTTTAAAAAAATGACAGAAACTGTGGCGTTTTTCTTAAAAACGTCGCAAAATGTCGTCATGATTACGTCAGAGATAACTCCTCTAACGTGCATAGTTAACAGCTGTTAAGAGAATTAAAGGCGTTTTAAAAAACGTCGTTAAAGGTCTTTAGTGGCGTTTTTAAAACGTCACGAAGATATAGCGACGGCTGTATCATCGACGAATTTTATAAACGTCGTATTTTCTTTTTGCGGCATTTTTCTGGCCTATTGCGGCGTTTTAAAAACGCCGCAAATTCCTGATTTTCTTGCAGTGATGTGTTTCCATGGCACAAAATTTTTTTGGCATAACAATAGAGAAAAGGTAAAATAGGAATACAACTTGAAGTACAGTTAATGAATGTAAAATTTAAAAATCAGCATAGGCTGGGCCCTAGTTTTAAACACCCACTTTAAGTTTCATTAAGAAACCCAGTCCAATGAAGAGGTCCTAATTTGCTAGCTAATTACAGTACAAGTTCTCTCTCTGTCTCTCTCTCTCTCTCTCTGGGTATCTTGCTTTCTCTCATATACTTGCAAGTTTAATCTTTTGTTTATTTGTTATTTTTTGTATACATTCCCATAAAAGTATAGTTAAAATAATTATTTCCTCTTGATAATGAACTTCAAAAATAGTGCAAAATTTAATACATTAAAGTAAATAACATTAGTAAATTGGTAAAGTTAATTTTAATTAATTTTAAAACTCAAAACTACGGGATTCTAGAGTTAAAATATAACGTATTGCATGGGAAGTTGTGCTACTTAAAAAGCTATTCATAGCTCTGCCACATCCATTGTCTAACAATCTTCACAGACCGTATTTGTCAATGCAAATGCGACTGCAAGTTTGAAACCTTTCCTCTTCCTCTTTTAAATCTTCATGATCAAATGCTACATAATCAAGAGTAATCTTGTTCTCATCTTATTGTGTCTTTGCCAAAGACCGATTATTGTAGCGACAAGGTACAAGATACTTTTCACTGGGGCTGTTATGATTAGTTTTTGTTGCAAAATTTTGGGTGAGAATATGTGAATTTAAGGTTTGTAAGGATGTATACAAGTACCAAAGCTTTGGGGTTTTAGGAAGGCATAGATTTATAACTTCCTGTTATTTTCCACTTCAGTCTAGGATGTGCTCAAATTTCCTTGCCAGAATAATTGGTCATGCAGAGGACAGGCTATTGTGTTTTACTTTAGATCAAGAAGTGAGGAACTGTATCCAAGTACACGAGAAAATGAGTTATTTGCCATATGTTCTGCTGAGTGATGCTTTTTTGCTTTGCTTAGAGCTTTATAGTGTAGTTGCACAGTGGAATCAAGTCATAGCAATTTCTTTTCCAAGTGAAAGAGGGCAGGAAACCCAACCAAAGCTTTAGGGAAAAACAATGACTCAACTAAAAACAGGAAGCTCTGACTAATCTTAAGAATCTAACAGTCCACAATGAAGCAATAAGCCTAGTTAACTAAAGAGAAAAGGGTTTTTCTTTCACCAATCACATTCTTCCAATCAACTTTAATGATTCACATACTTCGAAGGACTCTTGCAATCATTTGTAAATTGTGGTGAATTTAAGGATAGGTATTCCATTCTTGTGGTACATGAGACTTCATTTTCAGTGAGCTAAATAAACAATCATCATTGCCATATGAAAAGTAATTTTTCTCTTAAACGAATGCAAATTTTTTATTCCAGGGCTGTTCTTATTGGTATGCTGTCACATTAACATCTTGCGGCACTTTATTCATTTGCAAGTTAAATTGAGATACATTGCTTGTAATAACCCAACCCTCTCATATGCTTAAATCTCTCATTAGATGTGTGATTATATGCGTGTTTATATGTTTGACATGAAATTCCATGTTTTAATGTGTGGATTATATACTTATGAAATTTTATCTGTTGATTATGAGAAACTCTGTTGGAATTGAGACATTTGGACTAGAAATTAAACGCCTTAGAGGCATGATAAACCGAAATTGACTTTACAGTTATAATCAGCATGATTTTTAGGACATAACATGAAATTTTGTAAAAATTTAATTCATAACAAATAAAATTGAATTATTTAGGCTCAAGACTTAATAAACCAAATTAGGCTCATAATTTAAGCCTTAGATACATATATGAACCTAGAGAAGAGACTTAGACTCACATATTATATAAAACTTCTCATGGGAGAGCTCTAGAGCAAAGCAAAGAAAAAAAAGAAAAGAAAAAAGATAGAGAGAGAAAGAGAAGATCAACAAAGAGCTTGAAGAAGTTGAGAGAATTCAAAGATTGGAGTTCAAGGTGAGTGTGAATCAACTCAAATACCCTAAATATATTTCCAATTGCTTAGCATCGAGCTTTAAAATGGAGTTTTCCACTCACCCAAGCTAGGGTTTTGAAATAGTGCCCATGGTTGGGGAAATGTTCATGTAAACCATCAAGATTCATGGAAATTGTTTGATTTGAGAGTTAATCCTTGTGTTTTAAGTTATGTTGAGTAGTTTGAGAGAAACTACCTCCTAATCTTTAGTGTTTGCATGCTTTGCTCTCATACATGTCTATACGTTTGTGTATATATATTTGGTAAATCATGGGAAGGTGAAGATATGGAATGAATGTGATCATTGGGGGTTGTAATTATGCAATTAAAAAGAGTTATGATTTACTTGAGCATGAGAATCATGTCTAATATGTTTATATACTATATTTTGGGGAATTAAATTGCTTGATTTAGAACTTGGAATTATCTTTTGAAGGTTGAAGTGTTGAATTTTCGAACTGCCCAAAACAGAGCCAAAACCGCATGTGCGAGATGCACAGCCGCACGTATGGAAAATAGGGGAGACAAATTGGGGCATTCTGTAATAAAAACACATGCGGGCCGTACGTACGGCACACCTTCCTGCACATGCAGTGAGGAATTTCCGCACGAATGGCCAATGGGGGATAATTATGCCAGCTTCTTTTCCCCTGTTTAACCCTCTGAAACTGTTAGTGTGTATATTTGATCCTCCTAAAATGCTTATAACTGAATGAGAATTTAATGAATCGGACAATGAAAAAGTTAAAGAAAAGTGAATAACTTACAAGTTGTGTGTGTGTGTGCCTTGTGTAGGTCATGTGCCAGAAGGAACCGTTGTTCATCCACATCACTGTGAGTAATAGTACTGTAAAACACTTATACTTATTTTGATAAGTTTATGTGTGATTTCTGAAATTGGGTTATTCGAATGAATGAGGTCCAAGAAATGGAAAATAGAATGTGGATATGAAATGAGACTCATTTATAGTGTTATTATTAGGCCCGAGGCCATTTTGTTATTATTGGGCCCGAGGCCGTTCTGCTGTTATTGGGCCCGATGCCATTCTGTTATTAGAATTGGGCCCAAGGCCGTTCTGTTAATCAAAAAGGAACATACATGAGTTACCTACACGCTTTACATTTTGCAAGGCACACATTCATTTACATGCCTTAGTACATTATTATTATTTACTGAGCTTGGCTCATTTTGTATTCATGTATGTTTTGTAGGTGGTCAGCCCGGAGATCAGCCCTAGACCAGCTCTAGAAGTCTTTTGTTGGTCCAGTCTGACAAGCCTTCCAAGTGAAACCGTTTTTGTTTTATTTTGGGTTTCCTTTGTATGTTCCATTTTGCTACGGATATAGATACATTGCTAATATATAAATTATGGATCATTGCCCTTTTTGTTTAGATTGGTATGTCGCGGATTTGTTGCTTTTGTTATTGAGCAGGTATATGCAAATGTGGATGCATGTGATGTGTGTGCTAAGATCCTGGCATTTAGACACTGCTCAACGGATGTTTCTCTTTGACATTATACTTGCTCCCGTTTTAGGCCCCGATATCGTACAAATTATTTATTGATTACTTTGTTTTTGAGGGTTATGTTCAAGTCGGTTAGGTCCAAACTTTTATGGGCAAGTTTGGGTCGTGACATTTCTGCTATACTTTCCCCTATATATTCAGACTTGCCATGGATAAGGTTTTGTTTTCTCTATTCTTCTTTTTTTGTGGTTGTAGGGGGGTTCAAGGTTGGGAAAGCGATTAGAGAGGCAAAACTATGCTAATGGTCTAACAATGGTGGAATGACTGGAGGATGAGCAGCAATAATTGTCTGGGCAGTTGGAGAGTGTACAGCTAGGTGAGGGTGAAGCAGGTAGCTCAAGAAGAAATGTATAACAGTGACAAAATCGGCAACATCTCCCCAAAATTTCCAAAATTCCTCCTGTTGAATCTTGGAAAGTGGGTCCTATTTATAGGCTTTTTCTTGGTGTCAAGACGACACCAAGTGGCCAAATAGAGAGAAGACATGTGTCCTAGAGGATCACATGGAATATTCTGCCTCGAGCCACCAGCCTGAAGGTGCCACATGTCCCTCTGCATGTACTGTATACTATCTGTTTGCCTCCATAACTACCTTTTGAGCCTCAGCAAGTGCAGTTGCAGTGGAAGTGTTTGCCTCTGCACTTGCCTTCTCAGCCTGAACCTCAGCAAGTGTGCTTGCAACGATGAACCCTGTCAATGCACTTGCCTTATCAGTTCCATTTGGCCAGTACATGCATTCTCAAGACTCCATTAGCCTTCTATCAGCTATGTTTGTGTTCACTTCAGCGAAACCTCCACCCTTAGCCACCTAACCACAAACTCCCCAGCTTCCCAGAGCGAAGACCACAGCCAAGCCTATTATCGGCTATGTTATGCCTTAGTACCAAGCCCAAGGGGGCTTCCTTAGTCTTGCTTGTGCGACTAAGGCAAGTTCGTGACGTGGGTAAATGGAAAGGGAGTCCCTTTCGTTCAGGCTGCCCTGCTCCCATCTTCGCGGGGTTACCGCAGCAAACTGGTATCTCTGGGCCTGCTAT